CAGCTTTCAGCACACTACTTTCCCTAACTGGAATGTCCTCTCCCTCCCATTTGCTTTTCTAAATCCCATTCAATCTGTACAGTTCAGCATATTCCCACATCTTTCCTAAAGATTTCTCCAAACCTCCTAGCTATAGTACCCTCACCCTCTTGAACACCTATAGCACTGCCTATCCTATTTATTTGACCCTTTCTACAGGACAGCTTTCCAACATCACCCAGAATCATGCTTTTAAGTAGCACAGAACATGCCATCTGTTCCTCTGCACCCCTATGTTCACTGCAACATTATTCACAAAAGCCAAAACATGGAAATAACCTATGTGTGCATCAACAAATGAATAGATACAGAAAACGTGAGCTATACACACACACACACACACACACACACACACACACACACACACGATTATCAGTCATAAAAAAAAGAAGAAGAAGAAGAAGAAGAAGGAAATCCTGCCATTGCAACAACATGGATGAACCTTGAGGGCATTTTGCTGAGTGAAGGAAGTCAATCCTGTATGATCTCACTTACATGTGGAATCTAAAAAAAGCTAAGCTCATAGAAACAGAGAGTATATTGGTGACTGTCAGGGGATAGGGGGTGGGGGAAGTGGGGAGATGTTGGCCAAAGGGTACTTTCAGTTATAAGATGAATACATTCCAGCTACCTAATGTACAGCATGGTGACTACAATGATCAAAACTGTATTGTGTACTTGAAAGTTGCTGAGAGAGATCTTCAATGTTCTCATCACCACCACACGACAAAACAATGGTAATTAGCCCAGCCAGCGTGGCTCAGTGGTTGAGCATCAACCTATGAACCAGGAGGTCACAGTTCAATTCCCAGTCAGAGCACATGCCTCTGTTGCAGGCTCGATGTAGGAGGCGGCCAATCAATGATTCTCTCTCATCACTGATGTTTCTCTCTCCTTCTCCCTTCCTCTCTGAAATCAATAAAAATATACTTTTAAATGGTAATTATGTGGGTGATGAATGTGTTAACTAATGTTATTGTGGTAATCATTTTGCAATGGATATGTGTATCAAATCATGTTGTACACCTTAAACTTACACAATGTTATATGTCAATTATATCTCAATAAAGCTGGGGAAAAAATCATCCTAAAAAAGGCAGACTTCTGGAAAAAAGAAAAGTTTCATATACTTTGAAAGAAAAATTAACAAACAAAATAAAAGAAAAAATCTAGGATCAAATGGAAGATTTAAATCTACTTCACTGATTTAAATATTTACTTTTTGGTAAAAAAGTGACTATTCTGTAAGAAATGTAATTAATATTAAAAGACTATCAAAAACACCCAAAGCTATCAGTACCCTATAATCTAATAATTAAAAGGAAGAATGGCTTAAAGATGAAATTTCTTTGATTTGAGGATAAAAGAGAATAATAGCATGAGACCAGAAAGTATCAAAGATGACGGCATCAAAGAAATAAGGAAGAAACAGAAGTGTGAGTTTTTCAGATAGTGAAAGAAGAAAGCTAGGAAAGACACCTTTAACAGCAAAATCACAATTCAGTTAGATTTAAAAGACTTTGGCGTGTTTTACATATTGGGCCAAACAAGGACATCTCGATGGCCTGTCTATTTGGGGTAACAGTCTTAGAGCTGAGAGAGTTCCCTCCACCCCACTCCAGATTTCTTTTTACACTAATGAAAAGACAAGCGCACTCATTAAATATGATGATAGTATATATAAAACCCTCTGGCTAGTTACCCTACCATAACCAGGTTTTACAAATCCCATCTCTACCTTATATTTTAATTGTAGGCAGAAATTTCTGCTGAATTCTGTTTAATGCACATTTGGTTACATACCTTAATTTGTACTTTTAAAGCTAAAGCATTTCCAGGACTCAATGCATTAGAAATTCATAATTTATGTATTTTAGAGAATTCAAATTAGACTGCCAGACCTAGCCATAGGATGTCTGTTACATCAGACAGAGTTATTAACTTCTATGATTGCATCACATCTAAATTAAGCACTTCAAACCTATTCAAGGTAGAGCCTCAATTAGGACACAAAAATCTAATCCTAGTTCTAGGTCTGAAATTCAACTTTAAAATTATAATACCACTAGCTCGAATATCTTATTAAGAGACCATGATATGGTTAAAGAATAAAAACATTTATATCTATAGAAACCTCAAAAATAGAAACCTCATTGTCTAATTTAGTTACTCTATGACCAAAATAACTTCTCCAAGTGGAATATTTGGTAATTTATATTACCAATCTAGTTCAATGAAGCTATACAAAAGGTAGCAAAATTGGAAGAATCATTTTTACCTATGTATTTTTTTTACTATCTCCTCAATAATAACATGATTAGCAGTCATCTGCCATATGTATGTTAAAACACAATTAAAATCAACAGTTTTCCTTTACTAAAAAAACTTGAGTCTTGCCGTAACCGGTTTGGCTCAGTGGATAGAGCATCGGCCTGCGGACTGAAAGGTCCCGGGTTCGATTCCGGTCAAGGGCATGTACCTTGGTTGCGGGCACATCTCCAGTAGGGAGTGTGCAGGAGGCAGCTGATCGATGTTTCTCTCTCATCGATGTTTCTAACTCTCTATCTCTCTCCCTTCCTCTCTGTAAAAAATCAATAAAATATATTTTTTAAAAATAAATAAATAAATAAATAAATAAACTTGAGTCTAAACTGGAATAGTCAGAATCACAAAGCATAATTTTAAAAACATTAACACAAAAGTTGTCTCTCTACTATTTTGTCAGATTTGCACAATGCACAATCCAACATTTTGAAATCCCATTAGTGAAATAGTAGTTAAATATTATCTCAATTCTTATGTTGAAGATAAAGAAGGGAAAAGACAACTAATGTCTTAGAATAATCAAAAATATCCAGCCAAAATTATCAGGTGACATGAGGATAAAGTAAAAAAGCAGTCCAAACTCTTAGAAAAGTAACTTCCCAAAGAATTTTAACCCTCCCTGTCTATGCAAGCTACAAGGTAGATAAACCCTGAAAAGATCTGGTTAAAATGACATGCTTTTTTGGGGAAGGGGGGGTTTGGGAGGTAGGATTTGGTTTGTGTTTTTTTTACATTCTTTTCATTTGAGAATAATCTCATAAACCTTAATAAAAGAAGGTAAACTTGAAACTACTCAATACACCAATAAAGAGCAACTGATCTGGTTACTTCAACTTCAAAAATCTAGGTCACCAATATCTCTATAGCCAGATGAACACTCAGCAAATATATTTACTCGTTTTTTAAATCTGATGAACTTAGGTGCAGAAAACAATTAAATTACTGTTAAAATGACCATAATTTGTTACTCAATTGGTCTTTAACAAAAATATTTGGGTTTGTAGATTATACTAAGGATGATTTGGCAAAGAAAAGATGAGAATAAAATCTACTAAATACAATCTGTCCTCAATAAGACAACGCAGATTTCCAACATGGGACTAATATTTTAGTTATTCCACTTTATCTTTTGGGCTTTTTAAAGCAAACTGCTTAGCAAATTACATACTTTCAAATTTTTCAACAAAAATCTTCACAAGAAAACAATTTTAATATCACCAAAACGCCAAAGGACAAGATGTTCAAGACTTTGGAGAGTATGTAAGAAAGAATACAAGCACAGGGAATGGCTTTATCAAGGTGGGCAAAGTTCAGAATGGCAGAGTCCTTGCCTGTTGTAATGAAAACACTAACCCTACCAGTCGGGTAACTACCTCGGGGCACAGTAGTAAAACAGAAGGGAAAAGCCTGGTACAAAAAGTTGAACGGCCCAGAGAAAACCTAAGTGGTGACAAGAGCCTACAGGCACATGCAGGTACGCATCTTTTATATTGGATGTGATACACTTACATGGCCCCTGTTGAATCTCTTGGGGACCAACAGTAAAGCAAGTTTAGAACTTCAAATCTTGAGACATCTATAGCAAGATGCTGATCCAATGTGGCTCCAAATATCTTCTGTTTTCCTGGCTCACCTGAAGAGGAAAAAACACTACAGAGGATGTGGGAACTGAATTTCTTTATGTAGTTTCTCCTAGAGCAACTGTCTGAAAGTTTTGGCCCAATCCTTTATCAAGCCTGGAGATGAGACACTTGAGGGACTAGCGAAAAACAAAATTCAAACGAAAAAGTGGAGCGAGACATCTAAAAGGGGAATATGAGAGCACAAGATAATGGTGTAGGTCAATACAGTGTTTCTCATCCTAAGTGCGAGGAGGCAGAGAAAGGAGAGAAAAAAAATGCACAGAAGTTTCTCCCTCCATTTCCTCACCCTAATTGCTACTAAAAATTCACAAAGTACCTGAACTTTTTTTTTAACCATCATTAGGGAATGAATAAGCAAGATAACTTGGAAAGTTTAAGCATTTAGTGAAGACTCCCTCCCCTGGCTATGTGCATTATAAGCAGCAGGGAGGCCTTTCAGATAACACTTTTTCCTAAGAAAAGATTCTGGTGGAATACAGCTTGAGGCAATAAAGAAAGAGACTAATACATCCAATTTATACAAAAGTGGAAGTCACAGGACAATTCACCATATTTACAAAGTTTGTTTTTCAAAAGGGGAGGGATAGCTTTCATGTAGTAAGAAATCAGAACAAAAAGTAGTTTCCAAATAAAAGATTTTTAGACTAAACACAAACTGCATCCTTCATCCCCTTAGGAAATACTATCCCTAGAAAGATAATCTTTAAAAAACTAAGATGAGCAGAATCAAGTCTGATGTACATTACCACACAAAGCATAAAAATGTAGTCTATAATATTAGATTCATTTGGAATTAACTTATTTTTTTCTTAGAACATTATACCTAAATATTGAATTATTCATTCTTCTCCAGCATTCGTGTAATTGCCTAGGACATAAAACAATTTTCTTTCCAAATATATTCCATTTTAACCAGAATTTACTTAAACTATATCTGCTAAAAATACCGGAATTTTCTGAAAACTGAAATTGGAGAACTAATTAGATCCTTACCTGACGTGGCTGTTCATTCATTCGTTGTGGGTCTGATTTCACTTTATTATTAGGATGATTGGTGACTTTGGTTACTGGTTGTTTGAAAATTGATGCTGTTTGTCTAATTGGCAATGTTGTATTTAAGTCTGGTTTACCCTGTAGATATAAGCATGTTTTCATTAAAAAATGTTATACATAAATATAATTACGTAGATGAATTCTTATTAATCCAATATCCACTACTTTAAATCCGATTATTCCAAACTTCTCAAAATCAGTATTTTAAATACTCTAAAGTACATTTTTAGTACTTTATTATGTAAGACATACAGGGTGGGGCAAAATTAGCTTTACAGTTGTTCATATGGAAAATAATGCAATAAATACAAGAATAAACTTCATGTTTCCTGTACTTACAACTATAAACCTACTTTTGCTCCACCCTGTATTTTTTTCATAATAAAAACTTTATACTTTTAAATGTAAAAAATTTCTCTCTATAAAATTCATAATTAATTTGATTATGTTTAAAGTTGGGTTATACAAAAGGAAGGGGAGCTTTCAGAACAATAACCAGGACAGTGGTCATTTCTATGTTCTGAGAATGGAAGAAAATGATGGCATACTAGTACTTGGCCATTAAAATACAAACAACCTGGTCAGCTTTTAGGAGGCCAGGCTCTCATAAAACCACATAAATTAACCTTCCCCTTTTACAGAAAGGTAATTAGAAATGGAAGTTCTAATTCCAGCAAACAGAACTCAATTTAGAAAAATGCGTTCTATTGAAGTCAAAATGAAGCACAGAATCGCCATTAAGTTCATTTGCAATACTTTAAGGGGTGGTGGGGTGGGCTGGCCAGGGGAAGTGAGAAAGAAAAAGAACAAAATGTGATAATGGCAAAAAACATAAAAGGTCATATATATCTAAAAACAACACACATCTGCTATTTTTTAATATAGAAATATACTTGGTAAATGATAGGATAGTCAATGAACTTTTATCTTTACACTAGTGATCCATGTAAAAATTATAATCTCAACTTTCAAACTCCAAAATAGTGCTTCTTAAACTTGAGCTTCCGTCAGAACCACCCAGGGGGTTTATTGAAACACAGACCACTGGGACTCAATCCCAGAGATTCGACTCAGTAGGTCTGAGGTGGGCCTGGGAACTGCATTTCTACTAAAAGACTGCAAATTGGTAGCAGACAAACTGAGTTTAACCCATAGTCGTGTTCTGCTCCATTTTGGGGGTCTTTGATAAATTAAGCTGACAGCTACAAATCTGGAGACCACATGAAATCCAGAATTCAAGCTTCTCTTAAAAACTCAGAGATCTAGAAATACTGGACTTGATTTAGCCACAATGGGCCACGATTAACTAGCGATGGCTGCCCACTTGAGGTGTCAAGGGTCCTTGCAGAATTTCTCAACAACTCCCTTTGTGTTACCTGTCTGAGCCCTGTGGGGATGGAGTTTGTGACCTCTGCTTAAATGATGTCTAGAAAAATAAGCATCACAATAAATTAATCTGACAATTATTACAGTATTATTTGGACCCACTATTTACATGAGTCTCCACTTCCTCCCCCACCGCAACCCTCAAACACACACTCCTCTGTATGCACTGGGCATGTTCATTATTCCTTTATCTCACTCATTTTTTTCTCACTGCATGTGCTTACCTTTATGAGCTATATTCATCTTAAATAACACTAACAATATTATTTCTCAGGTATTTAGCTTTCTTATCTTTTTGAATTAAAAAAAAACTTTTATTTAGAACTGTACAAACCTAGCCAATAGGCTGCAAAATAACCACTTATGTCATTTTTAAAAGTGTGAGACCCGGGAATGTGTATTTTTAAAAGCTTTCCTGGTAGTAATTCTGTGACATCTCTGATTCATGACAGCATCCTGAGGCCCTTAGTGAAGCCACCACATCTATAAAACAATCAATATTCAATCCTAAAGGAGCTCCACACATAAATGCTTATGGAGAACTTTTCCTGTCACTAATTAGTTATAATTAGTATATATCACTAAACAATACCTTTGGTTTTGTAATTGTTCTTTAATAAAAAAAATATGTTCTGCTCATATTAGAACAAAGATGGCATCAGGAGACACAACAGTATACCTCAATTGTTTGTATGAGCAAACAAGGTCAAGCCAGTAGGATTCTCATTGTTACAAAGGATGACTGGAGGCAGCAAAGACTACCCCAAACTACGAATTCTGAATCCACAGACTGGAAGGAAGCATGCAACGTAAAACTATTGGTGCTACAATAGTAAGACTGATCTTTTTTTATTTTTTTGTTAACTTATGTTTTTTGATTCTATAAATAAAAATTAGAAAAGCTGTCTAAAAATATTCAAAATATACAATTGACTTCTATTATCTAACATTGAGACAGACAATTCACTCCCAGTGGTGTAAGAGATTACTCAAGAGTGTGCTGTTACTTTCCTCTTGATCTTTTGTTTTTTATTAGTTTTTCTCCTTTTAATTGGCCTCCAAAGCTCTGAAGAAAGAATTTTTTACTAATTAATTTTGTATTCCAAAACAGTATCATGTAATCTGAAAAGCTGGACTAACTGGTTTTCTCAGAAACTGTCACAAAAACAGTACATTTTATTACCACTCTCCCCTCAGAACTGCCAGTCACTTTTAATTCATGCCCAGTTTTGTGTCTGAATTTTGAGAACTACCAATCTGCTATAAACTCAGGAGCTATAAAGCAAACACTTTTTTGTGGGTGGGTGTGTGTGTGCGCGCGCATGCGCGCGCTCTTTTTTGTTAATTCTCATCTGAGGATATTTTTTTCATTGATTTTTAGAGAGACTGGAAGGGAGGGAGAGGGGGGAGAGAGAGAGAGAGACTGATGTGAGAGAAACACATCAATTGGTTGCCTCCCCCTTGGCACCAGTCAGGCCACAGATCAAACTTGCAATCCAAGTACATGCTCTTGACCCTGGGGATGGGGAGTGGGGTGCACTCTAACCACTGAGAAACATGTCCAGGGCAACACTTTTTTTGATAGGACAAAGATTAAAACTATTCATACATATATTTGAAATCTTCCCTTTCAATATAAGAAAAAAAAGTTCCTTAAATTATAAAATTAAACTGGCAAAAACACACTTTAATGTTACAACTAAAAGTTTCTAACCTATAAAAAATTTTCTCAGTATACTGACTAGCCCTCAAATCAAAGTTTAATGTATTTTACAATAATGTGCATACTAGGCTGGAAGTATTCAAATAACTCAAATAATTTTGAGGATCTATTCTAGGTGCCAAGAATATAATTTTTTTAAATCTTTTACTTCATCTCTTTCTAAGAAATATCTTGAGGTGGCTCTTTTACACTCAGAAAGAACAAATATGTAAACATTAATTTTTAAAAATAGAAAATCAAGGACAAGGAGTAAAATTTCCTTTTGAAAAGGTTAATAGTAATTGACACTAGAGCTGAGCATCAAATAGGGATGTGTGTTTTCTGGGGCCTGGGTGAAAAAAGATTAAATTATATAGATATCATGGTTAGGAAGGAGGAAGTATACCAATTAATGAAGAAAACAAAAGCTGCCGAAACCGGTTTGGCTCAGTGGATAAAGCGTCGGCCTGCAGACTGAAAGGTCCCAGGTTCGATTCCGGTCAAGGGCATGTACCTGGGTTGCGGGCACATCCCCAGTGGGAGATGTGCAGGAGGCAGCTGATCGATGTTTCTCTCTCATCGATGTTTCTAACTCTCTATCTCTCTCCCTTCCTCTCTGTTAAAAATCAATAAAATATATTTTAAAAAAAGAAAAGAAAACAAAAGCTGTCCTGATATTAAATCTAGAAAAAAATTACAGGCACTTGACATCACAACAAATATTAAGCAGATTTCAAATGCTTTTTCTTTTCTCAATGACCTTCCATAAAAAACAAGAAAAGAACACTTAAAGGACAACACAGTGAAGGTGATTCTGAAAGGGACCACACCGGTGTGCAGCCTTTCAGTTCCCTAGATAAAGGCTAGAAAACAGGATAACCGAAGATGGGTGAAGAGTGCATGTCATAAACCAGTGGTTTTCAAACATTTTATTTGCATTCCTAACCCCTAAAACTGTTTTGAAAATACATATACACCACCTACATTTTAAAGTTGACATCAAGAATATTTCATATTTTAATGGAAATAGTTTCAAAGGATCCACTTACTGGAGTATTTAAACACTGACACTTTAATAAACTGCTACATCACTTTAAAATATATCCAGCAGTATCTAAATATTTCCACCATCAACCATTTATTTATACATGAACAAGCTGAAGTTATATATTTTATTTCCCTCCTTTTTCTCTTTGAATAATTCCATTCCCAGTGTTATTTCCTATTTTAAATTTGAAACACTTTAATTGATCATTTATCTCATAAAATTATTTTTTTTAACTTTCTGTGACCATAGAGCTCTTAATGATAAAAATAACTAAATCTATTCTGGTTTATTACAATTATTTGTATATTACTGGCCAAAAATGATAAATTACATTTTAACAAATAATTATTAAACATAAGAGGTGAAAAATCAAATAAATATATTAAGAAGTTATTTTAAAATAACTTCATGGCCTTGAATATTATTAATTGCTAAAATGGGTCAAGAGTTAGTGTCAATTCTATTTATATTCTTTTTTTAATGTACCACCAAGAATCCTTGTTCACATAAATGAGTAAATAGAATGACTTTTCTCCTGTCACTCAATTCTTTTGAACTTCTTTTGAGTTACAGGACAAAATGTGCACCATCAAAAATTGTAATAATCGTCCTTTACACTAAGTCCTCTGTAAATGTTGTTGCAAAGAATTGTGCGAGCAAAAAGACTTCACTGTTGTCAAGTCATTCGTTTTTCCATACCAACACCAATATTTCAAATTGTCCCCTTATTGGAGACAATTTGGTACCTTGGTAGTGTTGCGAATAAGTGAGAAGTGTACATGTGCCCTTCAGTAAAACTGAAGGTTGACTACGAAAGGGGAACTGGGCAAAAAGGACCCTGTACCTCTCTCAGGTTCATGCTCAGATCAACTGGAGCATACATATGTGAAAGTTCAGGACACAGAAACAACTAGAAACCCAGCCATATGGTGATACCAGGGAAAGCCTTCACACAGCATAGCTGGAACAGCAGGGGCTTACACGGTATATTCTAAATACCACATTTCTCAGCCTGTCTTTAAATAAAGCTACTGTATAACAGTTCCGAATTGTGTATATTCTATCTACATATGTTATCTTTAAAATTCATGCAAATTTTGTACTTTTTAAAAAATTAGCCATGATTGTTTTAATGTAAAAATGTTGCTCTACCTACCCAAATGTTCTAATGAAACTTATACACCCAAGTAGCATTTTAATTCTCTGGCTCTGCATATACTACATGCCCTCAAGAGATATTCATGCCACAATCTGAGAAACAGACTATTCTCCTAAGGTCACTTTCCTCATCTGTAAATGAGGATTAACAACAACTATCTGTAAGATTCTCATAAAGATCAAATGAGGTAACACATGTAGTATAATGCTGCTGCTGCTAAGGCAGCTTTCATTCAGTCAGTCACTGAACAAATACTGAGTGCCTACTATCTGTCAGGCACTTACTGCATGCAGGGTATACAGTCATTAACCAGTTAACTGTTACGGTATTTTGAATTTAATTTAAAAAGGTCCGCCGCTTGAGTCTACAGACACTTATGGCGTACAAATGGTTAACAAAACATCAAAATCCCTGCCTCAGAACTTACATTCTAGGGGTAGAAGGAAGACAACAATTAACAGGGTGGGTTTATCATTTATAGTCACATTGGACATAAATTCTAAGAAAGCAGCAGCTTTTTCTACCAGTGCCCCGAATGTCTCAAGCCAGAATTGTAGCCGGCATCAAGTCCTTCTTCCTCCACTCACCAGGTACTTATATGTGCTAATTCTCTTGAGTCTCACACCTTTCCATGCCTCCTGCTATAGCATTCATTCAAGACATCCCTTTCCTAGACTACATCAGCCCAAACTGCTTTCTCTACTTCAGTTTCCCCTTTTCCTAACCCGTTCTCCATATTGCACCTATTCTATAGAATCCAATACCCAACCAGATGCCCACCATCGCAGCAGCTCACTTGTTTCTCAAACTACAGATGCTGTCCCCATGATATATTAACTCTCTACAAGAATTTATTTTTAGTATTTTGTTGAAGATACTCAAAACAAGCACCTGCTAGATCTTTTGGTTGACTACCTAGGACACAGCGATACAGAATGCAAAGCTGTGTGAATTATAATCACAACTGCATATTACCATACACCGAGATAGTTTGAGAAATGAATGACAGAGTTATACAATGAATTCCATTCAAGAGAAGATGATGCTCTTTATTTCAAAATGTATCAAATTGGTGTGAATAGAGAAATGTAGTGAAAGAACTGAGTCTTTCCAAGGTATTAGTAAAACTGACAAGCCCAGGTAAAAAAATAACTTGTTCCATGCCATATAAATATTGTAAGGAATTTGTAAAATACATCATATGTTATATTGCTAGGGAGTTTGAATTTTATTAGTTTGTAGCTTTAATTGATAAACATTTTGATGTTAAGAGCCAGAAACACATGGAATCGAGTTTAGTGTTTACACACCTGAAACATTAAAATAAAAGGAATTTATAGCAACAAAACCAAACTTCTTAAACACATCTTACACTAAGAATCACTATACTCTTCTTTATCCAATCCTAGTGTTCTCCAATTAAATTTTTAAAGAAACAGACCATCTTTTTAAGAAACAAACTTCTTCTTAAAATGTTGAGACTATCTCTGAAACCTTGAAACATCTCCTCTTTGAAAAACGAAAGCTTGCATAAATGCCAAAATGACATGTAGCTTTCAAAGCAAAGTTTCTGTTTTTCTTATGTACCTATTGAGGATTGAGAACTGTGCTGTCCAATATGGTAGCCACTAGAAATATGTGGCTATTTAAACTTTAATTAATTACATAAAATCAAAAGTCCAGTTAGTCAGTCACACTAGCCACATTTCAAACATTCAATAGCCACATGTGGCAGGTGGGTACAACATTCCCATCAGCACAAAAACTACTTTTGCAGAGCGTTGCTCTGAGAAAGCCGCTCAAGACTTCAAATATCAACTTGATGTTGATGATTTCTAAATCTTTTCTAGTCTTTTTCCCTTAAACTAATAGAATATCTTCAGAAACCAATGACAATGAAAGGCATTTCCAAAAAAAATGTACAGTACATTAATTTATTCAATAAACATTTATGACCACTATGAACTTCTGAAATGAGGTAGATATTTAATCAAATAAACATGAAGCAAACATGTATTAAGTACCTACCGTGTGCTAGGTTTTGGACAACACATACAGAATCAACAAAAAGAAGACATGGTCCCTGCCCTCATGGAGCTCACAGTGTACTGACACGGACAAACAACCACAAACACAACAGCAAAGCACCAGGGAGGCACAATGAAGAAGGGGCTGTTCTGCTTGGAGAGCGCAGGGCAGGCTTCACAGAGGTGAGACAATGGAGCTGGGCCACGATGAGGATGAGGAGGAGGAGGAGCTTGCCAGGTAGAGGGGGAGGGGGGCGCATTCCAAGCAGAGGACACAGCACATGAGCAAGCAGAATCTTGAAAGCACATGCCACGGTGCAGGAGGAGCAGTCCGCACGGCTAGAGCACAAAGGAGCACACAAACTAAAGAGACGAATTAGGTTTTGGTTTTTAGTGAATCATAACTATCGGGAAGTTTATCTTCACATTACACTTAGGGTAGCTTAACCATGATTCTGGTAACAACAAGGTAGTCTGAAAGCGGTCCACTCCTTCCATAAATATGTGAGCCCCTTCAATAGATACCAGCACTGTGGTTAGAGTTTTTAGAGGCTGTTTTAGTATATTTAAGAAGCAAAATAAACCTAGAATAAAGGTTTCTTTAAGCTGAACTCACACAGCTTTGCCTACACACTGCTCAAGGTCCCAACTTTTACTAACATGAGCTCCCTCTACTCCTATCACTCTCTCATACCTTAACACCTTCTTAACTATCAAACCACAGTCACACCATTTCAACCCCCCCTCCCACCCTGCCTCTCTAAACAAGGTACCTGCCAATGTCCCATGGGAACCTGTGCAAGGTAACCAAGGCTACAGACGAGGGAACACTGCAGTCTAACCTCCATAACAGCTTTTGGAATTAAACTATTGTAAACAAACTAGGAAGCTGATTTCTGAATAAAGAGATATGAAACAGAGACCCCATACCTTTTAGGAAAAGTGAAAGAAGAAGAGGAAAACAGCTTGGGCAGAAAGTTTCCTGCACTGGCTACCAGGCAGCACTGCTCACTGAGGTAGCTTAGTGCTTGGAAAGGTGCACGGGGGGCAGGAAAGGAACTAACATGGGTCAAATACTTGGGGAGATGTTTTCATATAAATTCCTCTTCACCCCTCACAATGCTAACTAAGGGAAGGACTCTACTACCTGACTGAGAAAGCTGAGGCCATCACAGGGTAAGGAAGTTGCCCGGGTCTGTGTGAGCTCGTAAGTGGCAGAGCCAGGGCATCAATCCACGGGCCTGGATCTGAAGCCCTTGCCCTGGACCACACCACCTCGGGGCTCCCAAGTGCGTGCAGGGCTACGTCAGTCACATCCCTAGGAAGAAAAGCCCTTCCTTTCCCTTCACTATTTTCAGTCCGTGTGAGACAATGGTGGTGGCAACACACATACACACATATCTATGGAATTTACAGGAAGAAATTTTAAGAAAAAATGGTTATAAGATTAGTTGCCCTTGGGAGGGGTGGGGTTAAAGGTGCTTTTGTAAAGCTATTGGGTGCATTAATACAACTAAATTAGCATTATAATTCAAATGCTACTTGTTTAAATTCCTATACTACAAACCATCAACTAAACCTAAAAATAAGAGCTAATGGGAAAATCTCTAATCACTGTATTAGGATGAGAACATTCTTGAAAGTCATTATCCTCAACAAGTCAAAATAAAAACTCCCCTTTCTCAAACCATAATCCTGAAAATGAATAGGTAACTATAAACTATATGGTAAGAATACATGCCACATTAAAATGCTGCCTCTTTTTGGCAACAGGAACAATTTTAAGGGGGCGGGGGGGGGGGGGGGGGCTGGTCCGGAGAATCATCGACAAAGAAATATTTTATAAATAGTCCCAACATGCGAAAAGTGTGATGTATGCTGGCCTAGAGAGATACTGAAATGTGTTTTCAACTGTGTACAATTTACATAGGCTCCTCCTCTGGAAGGACTGCACTACCAGAAAATTAATCAGATTTATAAGTCAAAATGCTTAGCAGGAGGGGAAAAAACAAAAAACTGGACATACAATTAAAATCTCAGTGTTATATTTTAAAGTTGTTTAGAGAGCTCTTGAAATAGAATACAGATGTCATAAGTAAGTTAACCAACCTTATTCTGATTGAGAGGATCATTCCGCAGTCTCTGTTTGTTCTTCTGTAATTTACTAGGCATCATCTTTCCAGTTCTGAAGTCAAAACTGCTGAGGTCAACAGTATTTCCCAGGTACCTTGCCAACTGAGGTTTGCTTCTGAACTTCTTACCACTCGGACTAGAAGGAAGATAATGTTAATTGTACAAAATAAAGCAACATTTACCCTACACTCTACATAAAACTTTTTTCATACTGTCCTTCCTGGTCCCAACTGTTACATCACAACTGAACATGTTAAATGTGAGTGTCAGAGGAACTCAGTAACTTCACCATAAAGAGATCATGTGCCATCTAATGTAACACTTCGCTAGGTCCACCACCTGTAGTAGCAGGTGTTACTACAGGTCACCCCAATGGGCACTCACTCAGCAACCAGTGACAGAATCCCAACACAATCGCTTGCACAGCACAACGTGCACCCTGCAACTGTCTTCAATCTCACAAACTGTTTTCCAAACTGACTTTTGAAATGCTACTTTTTTATAAACACTACAGACACAACGTCAGCAGTAATCAGAAAGAACTTCAGAACAAACTCTTCTGAAATCAACACCCTTGTTAAAAACACACATACACAGCCGTAGCCGGTTTGGCTCAGTGGATAGAGCGTCGGCCTGCGGACCAAAGGGTCCTGGGTTCCATTCCGGCCTGGGCCCTGGTTGGGGTTTGTGCAGGAGGCAACCAATCAATGTGTTTCTCTCACATCGATGTTTCTCTCTGTCTTTCCCTCTCTCTTCCCTCTGCCTAAAAATCAATGGAAAACATCCTCGGGCAAGAATTAACAAAAACAACAACAAAGACACACACACACACACACACACACACACACACACACACACAAAACTTAGAACCCATATATCTTTGGGCTACCAATTTGAACTCATTTACAATAGGAAAAAAAAATTTTAATTTTGACAATATTTAATGCTCCCTAAAGTAGCTACTGAAAGGAAAACTGTTGGGGGGTTGCCAATGTGTTTACACAATGCTGACATTAGTTTTGTTAGCCAAAGCCCTACTGTAAAGAAGGGCTCTCCGTTTCTCTCCCTCCCTTCCACGCTCTCTAAAAACCAATGGAAAAAACATCCCCGGGAGAGGATTAACAACAAAAAAAGAAATATTGTCAAAGCTGGAAAATCACAAAAGTGCTAGAATTACAGAGAAGGCTAAACTGATATGTTCTAAAAAATGTTTTCTCTGTGTGGCGTTGCCCCAAAGTCTTATCTAAATCTTCTGACCAAATGTGCTAGAATAAACTATTAAAATCAGTGGGACAAATAACCAGAAGGGAATTGTGAGAATTCTAGAATACCTCTCACCAAAGACAACATGTTATATTTAGAACTTAACCTTGTACCAACTGACTACTATAGAAGAAAAATAATTCAACAGGAAGTCAAAAGAGAAAAGGCTGGAAAACTAAGCAATAAAATATTCCCCTGGAACAGCAAAACTTCTCTCTGGGTCAAATCCAAACCAACACACCCCTCTTTGTCACAAACTCTGGTATTCTGCCGCCACCAACTTCAAGACAATGGAAGATCAGATCAACAATCTTTTTTCACAATCACATGACGTAAGCATTCCTGAAACACAATTCAATGTATAGAATTCTGCCTACAGATGAAAATAACAACCAGAAGTAACAGAATAGAACAAAGCAGACAACAAGAACAGCAGAGGAAAGGACGTTAAGATTATGTATAAGCAAGCCTCAACTCCCATTCTAACCAGATTTCAAAATATGCTCAGTATCGTAAAATAAAATAGCCTGTAACCCTCAATGTTGTCCAAAACTTGAATCATCCCTGACCACCACAAACTTCCACCCCTCATCTTCTTGTACTGCCCTGGGTTGCAGCATCACTGCCCACCTAGCTAGAAGGTAATCACAATGTCCCATCCCTCAGCCACACATCCAGTGTCAAGCTCTAAATGTTCAGACTCCTCAATGCTGACAATACAGCTTCACCTCCTTAATAACACACCAAAACCCTTCAATCTGTTTAAGATGGGTTTTTTTCCTAGACCCTTTTCCCACCAGCCCTGGGTACCCTGAATTCCAAACTCAAAGTCATGAAAATATGCATGTCTTTCCAGATGAAAGGATGAGCATAAGCAATGCCTGTCATAAAACTATTAAATCCTCCAAGCCCAACTACTATGTCATCTCCTCTATAATGCTGTTTGTGATTCTCCAATCCTAATTAGAAATATTCTGCTATCCTTGCCATTATACTTCTTTATATCAAAACAACCAGAAATTACAATGCCACCTTTTAAAACCCTCAAACACAATTTATACAGGCTTGCACAAAACAAAGTAACTTCCTGAAAGCAAAAAACTTGTATCAGTTGAACAGTAGAAAAATATGGTTTTCATTTGCAGACACACTGAAATGGCCAATTCTATGCTTATTTAAAAGTTATATTGCATGGAATTTAAAAAATTAAACTGGAAAATATTTTCGTGATTAATCTAGTCCACATAAGAAATGAAATATTACCTAAAGACCCAAATTAATTTGAAAAGTTGGTAAAGATTTCTCTATTATGTCACATATATAACTACAATTAATTTTAATTAAGTTAAAATAGCCATATAGTCCTTAAAATTAGATATACCAATTACTGGTAAAAAAGATTTTGGCAGTCTGGTGGTGTGACTCAGTAGTTGAGCATCAATCTATGAGTCAAGAGTCACAGTTTGATTCCCAGTCAGGGAACGTACCGAGGTTGTGGGCTCAATCCCCAGAAGGGGGCGTGCAGGAGGCAGCCCACCAATGATTCTCTTTCATCACTGATGTTTCTATCTCTCTCTCCCTCTCCCTTCCTCTCTGAAGTCAATAAAAATATTTTTAAAAGATTTTGATAAATTATTTAGCATACTTCAGAAGCAAAAAAAAAAACCTCTCCAAAAAAATAAAATGAAAATTTTCAATCAGATATCTCTCTAATAAGATCTCATCTATATTAATAAAAGAATAATATGCTAATTAGACAAGATAGACCAATGTCCTTCTGGACAAAGCCGTGGCGGCTGCGAGGGCCAGCAGTGGCAGTGTCTTCCCCTGATTGGCCCCATCGCCTTCCGCAGAGGGAGGCCAGACTGCAGCTTAGGCCCACTCCCCCCAGGGAATGGGCCTAAGCTGTCAGTAGGACATCCCCTAAAGGCTCCCGGACTACCCCCCACCCCCCGCACAAATTTTCGTGCTCTGGGCCTCTAGGAAATGCAATAAAAAGCTGAGTTCCAGAGTGTATTTTCTTTTCACAGACTAATGTTTCAAATGATGAAAATGTTAAGGTAACAACTTCTACCAAAAAAAAATAAGCACTGTTATTCTTAGGATATGGCTTAGAGACAACTAGAATGTCATTTCTTAAAGAAGCAATTGACTAATTTCACAAATTAGTAGTTCCTGTAGTTCCTTATGTAACAGGTGAAATGCCAGTTACCTGCTATGTAGTAGTATCTACATACGAGAGCCTCACTATAACATTCCTCTACAGAACAAAACTCATCAGAGATCTCCCAGTTGTAGATACTTCTCTCCCAAAGTAAGGAAATCTAAATACTTAAGGACGCCATTAAGCATCCAGTTGCTGGGAGAAGCCAATTCACCCTCTCCAGGAGCATCTCTGCTGGACATGGACCCTGAGCCCAGCCCCCGTCCTACTGGTGTTTCCAGCACCTGCTCTGGCTCCTGCAAGTGCGAGCGATGCAAATGCACCACCTGCAAGAAAAGCTGCTGCCCCTGCTGCCCCGGCAGAGTGCTAGAAGGGTGCAAGGACCCTGTGCAAAGGTGGAGAGGGGCACAGCTGAGGCTCAGACGTGCAGCTGCCTGCCAAGGAGATGAGGACCTGCCCTGTGTGAAACACGTGTAAATGCTGCTGGGGGCCAGTGGCACCTCTCCCTGCAGGAAGGCGTGGCTGTGTATCCTCCACCCCTGCTAGCTGCTGGCAAGCAACAATAAATCTATGACTGATGAATGGCATTAAAAAAAAAAGAAAACCTCAGTTAAGAGGCTATATTCATGAAAAGTGATGGTGCAGTCTATGATCTAGGTGAGCAATTTAGTATGGCTTCAAATAGTTCCTATGTGTAGTGATTTTAAAAATCAACAGAAGTATGCATTGTAAGAAAGGACTGACATACGCTACAGATAAACTAAATGAGTAAGGAAGGAAAATGGTGGAAATCAAGTTTTAACTATTAGCATATCAAAAGAAAGTAGAAATATCAACTAGTATTCAGTCAGATCTAATCCATCCCAAGTCCCTACCCCGTCATAAAGATGGACGTCTATGAAGCATCTATATTGAATAGCTACAGGTACTGTCATACACACTATTGCCTTCAGAATCGTGGTACAGGCATTTGCTTCTCCGTAACTGCTATCGCTTGTGCTTGGCGCTTTAAGTCAGCTTGGCTGTCCCAGTGGATTTTAAGACCAGGGACCTTCTACTGCAGAAGATGAAGACAATCATAGAAAAGACGAGGCCCCAAGAGAATAGTTATGCAGGAATTCTGCCCATCACATATAGACCATCTGCACAGTAGCAACATGACCCTGGAAGTGGCTGAGAAAGTAAATGCTAGATGAACACACAAAAATGATATGTCATTTAAGTTCTGGTCGCACCCAGAGTGACAAAGTTATCACGTGCCTGCACTCTAAGATGGCTGCTGTGGGTCCCAGTCTCAAGCACACCAGGACTTAATGCACCTAAGAGCATCAAAATGTAACTTAGGGAAATTACTTTTTTTTTAAAGCTCTAGTAGACTAGTGAACAATATTAGTCATTTTCAGTTTTCTCTGTCCAGAGTGACTACTTCTAATCCCAGTAATGAAATACTAATATTTTCACTTTCGACCACAAAGAACATTCCCTACCAACTACCCCATAGATATGCCAATCCTGAACCAACTTGTGATCTCGCCTTTAACTTCTACCCACTAAGTGCCCTGAAGAAAATAATCTAGTGAAAATCAATGAGTTGTATTTTTCCAGTTCATATAAGAACATTTCATCACTTGAACGGTCTTTGCTTGCTTTCATTTTGACTAAACTGTTTAAACCAAACTCCATCTTAGAGGTTTCTAAATACAGAGTAAAAGAAAATTTTTTTTT